GTGCTACCTTCCATCTTCCCGTATCCCTGCTACCATAATGTGATTATTTATACTACTCCCAAATAACTGGGACATGCTCTCCTCATTCTGCACCTTCCAATTCTTTAGACTTTCAGGGCTCATCTGGATGAGTAGATGTGGGGAGCTGGGCACCTTTTCTTATTCTTCTCTTAAGTTATCATCTATGGCTTTCAGAAAACAATGGGCAGATGTGAAGAATGTGTTTTGCATGCAGATGTGAAGAATGTGTTTTGCATGCAGAAAGCAATGAAAGCATTTGTACAACATTATCGAAAAGAGGGCTGGGGGTTTATGGCGATTCACACCAAAATGCTGAGTTACAAAACTTTTGTCTTTAGATTTTTTTCCATCACAAAACTGGGTGGGGTTTATAGTTCACCAGTAACATGTATATTTAGCGTGCACAAAGCCCCACCTCAATATTCAGGGCCAATGAATAAAATTAAATTGCTACTCATGTCTCATCTATGAACTACTTTTTGTATACCCAGGGCTATGAGGTCAGTTCTTACAACTATTTAGTTTATTATCCAAACATGTGCCTTTATTTGTGAGACCCGATCTCACTGTGCAGTCAACACTGGCCTTGACTATGGATCTTTGTGCCTCAGCCTCTTGAGTGCTGGGCTGACGAACAACTCACCCCGACTTTTTTTTAAAGATCCACTTTGTTATCAGTTATGTGCATGCAGCTGTCTGCAGAGCCAGACTAGGGTTCAGACCTCCTGGGGCAAAAGCTGGAGGCAGTTGGGAGCTCCCCAGTACGGGTGCTGGGAACTGAACCTCTGCAAGAGCAGCAAGCTCTCTTAATCACCGAGAGATCTCTCCAGCTCGCGCTGACTTCTGAATCAGAACTCATGGTTCCCGATATAAATCATGAGGTAGGGTGGTCCTCGTGAAATGTGCCAGTCTTTAGGGGAACTTGTACTTGCCTTTGCCTGACCTTACACAGAGAATCCTCGAGAAGAGTGTTATAGTTCACTCCTAATGTAGTGCTACAGGAAGGGGCTTTAGTTCACAGCACAGGGTTCTGAAACATGTTTTACCTCGAGATTGTCCTGGGAACTAAGAACGCAGCCTCTTCCTCTAAATTGTTAGGTCAGACAATGTGTAAGCAGGGCAAACAGACCTTCCTGAACTCTGGTGCCACAGGTTCACTGGTCTGGTTATCACAGGTGCTCTTTTGTTCATCCAATAACACACACGTGGAACTCGCTTCCTCGAAGCCTGCTCTATTCTTAGCTTTTGGATAACTCTCTCTCTTTTTTTTAACAGCTGAAACGAACCACCATCACTTGAAAAGACTGAAGAGTAATTCTTAGAATTTTTTCTGTTTAGTTCTTACTCGCAAGATCTGGTCTGTACGGTAGTCTCCTGGTTAAATTTTGTACTTCTCAGTATTTATTCAGATTGTTTGTGTAAAGACCACCCATCTCCCTTTTCTTTTTCATAGTTGAATTATTCATACTGAAGAGTCACTAAAGAGAAACACCAGGCTGCTCACAACAAGCCCACTCCTATAGCCTGAAGCACCTACTGTGTTAGCCTTTCATTTTAAGAGCTTAACACCCAGGATTGTTATCTACCTCACTCACACTGATTTATATACCCTCCTCAATGAATGGGAAATTGTTTTAGATCAGAGGTGGAGATATGAAGAAAACACAATTCTATCATTAAACCATTCATTGCTTCTTTACTATATCCCAGGTACTAGGATAAGGAGTAGGATACAGTGGTTAGCAAACCAGTATGGCCTTATAGAACTTACTGAAACAGGTATATAAAAACAGTGCGTGTTAGATTCACCACTGGGTATCACTCAGCACATAGCAGGCACTCCAAAGTTTGTTGAATGAATGAAAATGGCTAAGTATATAAGCTTTGCTATGAGCTGGAAACAAACAAGGAAACTGTGGCAAGATAATATGGTAGAAATAGAGAAAAATGCAAGGCATATCTAGGAAGAAGATAGAAGCAAGAAGAGTGAACCATGGCAAGACTGGAAACACAGCATTGCAGTTGGACAAAATGGGGAGAGAACATCTCAGGAGAAGGCATCATCTAGATGAGGGCTCTGAGCTTAAGCGAGAGCTTGGTATGTTTCAGCTGGAAGCCAAGTGTGGGGGGGAGCGGGGAGGAGGGGGGATGTAAAGAGGTAAGTGATGGAAGATCACTGAGACCAACGTAAGAGGTAAGCAGGGGTCTTGTAGGACATTGTAATGGGGGGGTGATTTTACTCTAAATCAAATGGGAAGCGAATGAGAAGTGACTTATTGCCTTAAGCAGAGTCACATGATTTGATTTGTATTTTCGTTTTTAAAAACACACTCTTTCTAACGATAGAACAATTAATTGTGAGCACAAGAGAGTTCCCACAGTCTCTTGTTAGTTGTTATGATCCAAGCGAAGGAAGGATGGGAGTTTAGACTAAGGCTGTTGTGGTAAAAGCGAGTAGAGTAAAGATTATACACTGGCAATAGAAACAACAGACATGTTGACAGACTGGATGCAGGGAATGAGAAGAGGAATTAAGGATGACTTCCAGGTTTCTAGCTTAAGCAACTGGGTGGGAGGAGGTGCCATTTCCTAACATGAAGAACTGTGGGGGAGAAGTCCTGGGGTATGGCGCTGTTTATTCTTAGCATGATTTTCTTGAAATGTCTGTGAGCTATGTAAGTGTAAATGTCAAGTAGGCAGTTGAATATCAATCTGGAGCTTTCTAATAGGAAGTTTATGACACAAGTCTTATAAGTGGCACAAGGCTTAACACGTCCAAAGAAAAATTTCATGCCTTCCTGGGCTAGAGGAATCTTCAGAAATAAGTTGGCATTAGAACCAAAGGAAAGATGATTAAGAACATTTCAGGAGTGGACTAGGAAAGGCAGAGGACAAAAATCCGAAGGTACATTTAGAAATCGAAAAGCAGCTCAACGTGGATGGAAGAGAGCTTTGTATTTGGCTTGTTGGAAGATGGGTGTACAGAAGAGGGTACCCCAGACAACACAGGGCTTGAGAACCACGCTAAAGAATTTGTATAACATTTTGTGGGCAAAAGTGAGTAATAGCCAGTTTTTGTTCAGAGACATGACCTGATAAGATGTTAAGAGCTGTTTAGTGATATTAAGAAGTGCCTACCGAGGAATGGGAATAGGAGATGAAGGAGGCCAATTAAGAATCGATTTCAATTGTCAAGAAGTGAGATAATAAGCACCTACATGCTAACTGACAAGTAAAGGGAAATATTTGTAAGGAGATTTATGTTAACCTCAGAGGAAAGCCAGGAGGAGGCACCTCTGTTTTTTTCATTGTTAGTACCTGTTTTGATACTAGATCACGGCTTCTGGTAAGGATGGGCAATACTCCAGTCTTTCCACAGTGATATTTAACATGAATTCAAGGTGTACAGGACTGTTTATCTAGGATGGGTCACCTTTCAAAGTGTATTGTCTGGAACTAGAGAATCCTTTTATTGCAGTGAGGTCACAGAATGTATCAGAGGGCAGAGTACCAGAGTAGCCTCTGAGGTTAGCTGACAGTGTGCCATGTTTCCAGAAGGAAACACCATGGAAAACTGCTGACATACAGGTAGGAGGTCTTGTAGGACATTTGTAAAAGGTTTGAATTTTACCATAAGTGTCTGTATGGTATCAAGGTAACCAGGTAAGAAAGCAAAGGCTCTGCCACTGGAGCAGAGAGACTAACACAGGTGGGTGCCGCTGGAAGAAAAATTGTGAGTTCAAAGCCATGGGCAGACAGGACACGAACCGGGGAGTTTGTACAGACAGGAAGCACCGGTAAAGATGAGTTAAGTTTTCAATCTTTTCCCCTCTAGAGTTCCATTATCTGCCTCCCCCCACACATCCAACAAACGGCTACACAGGCTGAACTTTCCATTCACTGAAATTCCTCCTTGCCTGGGCTCCCATTCATAGTATTCGGATTTGTGCTAAACCCCACCCTTCCCCGTCCCCATCTGACAAACAAGTATCACTGAGAAAATAATTGCATGTGATCCTTCTCTTGTTAATAAGCCCATTGAGACAACCGAGGTCTTAGATATACTGATGCAAATGTCGGAAACAGAAGATAATAATACAGCCTGCTAGAGCTGCGGTGAGATAGAGTGGTAGGAGCACGGGTATGTTTGGGTACCATTCTAATGGGGAAGCCTGGCTATGGCCTCATCATATTCTCCACAGACTCCCAGGAACATTTATTTATGATGGGCCTCCCTTCAAAGGAGGTAAGGTATCCTTGGGACAGTCCTCTGAAATAAATCTACTGAGGAAAACAGAATGACTACCCCAAGTGTTTTGTTTATACTAGGGAATCCTTTTACTGCTGGTGGATTCTGCCTTCCTGTTATTATTCCTATCCTCTGCATCCTAGTTTTCAATGCAGACATACACACATACATAGGTGTATGTGTGTATGTATAGATATACATATATGTATGTATACTTATATGTGTATATAATATATATATATATATTATATATACCATCACTGTTCAGCGTATTTTCAGGAGTACTTGCAGACTATATACTACATAAATATAATAAAGCAATGGATTCATAAAATACCTTCTTTTCATGAGTATCACTCTGAATAGCCTAGAAATTATGCAGTTACACTACAAGGGATAGCAACTAAATCTTTCTAATCTAAAATATTTTTTGATACCTGGAATTTAACAATGTAGTGATACATAAATTGTGATCCTCGTATATTTATTTTCACATATCTATTATTAAAATAATAATACCGTGGGGAACTGGTGAGTTGGTTGGTAGGTTCCTTTTATGCAAACCTATCAGTCTTACCAAACACATTTTTCACCTTGTGGATTTCTGCACATTTGTTTATGCTGTCTCTCCAGAGGTACTGTTAAACTCAACAGAAAGTATAAATGTAAAATGACTTTAGACTTTCATAAATGTCTCATTTGACACCCAAACTCAAGCCTACTTGTTAGCTTTCAAAACAATTTATTTTGCAACATAAGAAGAACAACGAGAATGTAATAGAAAATTTGAAAAGGGCAAGAAGATAGGAAGAAGGAAAATATCAACCATAATCCTACCACTTAAGCAACAACCGTCATTAAGAGCGTTGCTATGCTCACTCCTTAACCTTCATTAGGTCCCACTTATGGTGTACTGCCTTCCTTTAAGTTGCTCGCCTCTGTCTTCCATGCCACGCCTATACCACTCAGGCACACCATACCCTTCTTTTATAGTTAGCTAACTTGCTGTGACTTGTGCTTCCGGCTAGACTGTTAGAACCCTGGCAGGGCTGGCAGCATGACTTTTCCCACCAGGTGAATTGGACCCAACATTTGCTGACTGATTTAACCCAAATGAAGACGAACCATTAGCAGAACACGAAATAGGCCACATATCTAGATCATGAAAATTAGTGCTTTCCAGTCACCTAACTTGGTGACTATTGCTTTTCTGTTCCTGGACTCTTAAAAGGCTATTTAATGGGCCTCTTTCTTCACACCCACACTGAATGCAAAGTACACTGATTAAGAACCAGGACTTATTCAAAGACTTTCAATATAAGGCATAAAGGTGAAAGGGAAAGAAGGAGGCTGGGGGAGGGATATGAAGGGAGAAGGGAAGAAGAAGCAGCAGCAGCTGGGGGAGACATATAGTACACAGGCAGTAAAGAAAAGAGAAAGCTAGGAGAGGATATATAGTCTGGTGCTCAATCCAGTATGCGATTTGCCTCCAGCACTGTGTACAGGATCCCATCCACTTGTTCTGAGTCATACCCGATCTCACAAAGCTCCAAGTGAGGGAGGACAGAAGTAAGGAGATAGCTGACGTGGATACGTAGCCGCGTAAGCTTTGCCAAAGCCCTGTATAATGGAGTGAGGGGATAGGAGAAGAGATGACAGGAAGTCATTAGCCAACAGAATAATACGAAGTTCCTGCACAATGGGCCTATAGGTCTTAATAATTAGGTCTCCATGAGGTAGGAAGAAGGCAGACAGAACCATGCCATCAAACACGGGGAGACTGGCTGCGGCTTTCTAAGGAATAATTACTCAATCCGTGGTGGTCAATGAATTAAGACTTTCTCCCCTATGACCAGTAAACTGGGGGTCTTAGTGGATAATTCCCCTTAGTACTCACAAGGTGATAACTAAACCCTAGTAATTAACCTTTCTAAGTCATCTCTCTCTGTGTTCTGGCAGGAGACCTGGGCCTTCTGCAATACTTCCAGTTGTGTCTCTGTCTCTTTCAGTTTCTCTTTTAGTTCTTGCTTCTCCTCTTTGGTTCTTTCTAGCTCCGCTTTCAGAATCTGGAATTCAGCTTGGCGATAACCCATGTGCTTCTTGCTCCAGTATAAGCCTTCAGTCTCCTGGGTACTATAGGTCACCAATTCATGTTGAGCTCTCTTAAATTCAGAATGCCAGTGATTCTTCTCCTGTTCCAGCTCCTCTACCTGCATTCCAAGAAAGACAAAGTCAGTGATCAATACAACCAAAAGTTAGAGTATCCCGAACCATTTCTACTAAATCTATCCTGTGGTTCTATTATTTATAATGCTTTATTATACTTATGCAAATCTCTTGTCAAACCTAAAATACAGAGGGAAAGCCCATTAGGGTCCTCTCAATCTGAGAATACCACAGACTAGTTTAACGGCATATTTTGTTTAAAAGCTTCAGAATATGAAAGAAACCACCAAAATATCAGTACCCCAGTCCAGTGGTTCTCAACCTGTGGGTCATGACCCAATGGGATTTCAAATGATCCTTTCATAGGGATCACCTAAGACTATCAGAAAACATGGTATTTACAATATGATTCATAACAACAGCTAAATTAGAGTTATGAAGTAATAAAACAATTTTATAGTTAGGGGTTCCCACAACATGATCAACTATATTAAAAGGTTGCAGCATTAGGAAGGTTGAGAAGCACTGCCCTTGTCCCTTGGTTACAATGACCTCTTCTTATCCCTACTGGTAAGGCATTGCCCAAACCTTTTGCTGGAACAGATTCCTTTCAGCCAAAACACGCTCCAGTTTTTCTGTGGTTCTCTTCAATTCTTCCAGTTCTCTCTGGTTCTTTATCTTTGGCATGTTCCGACTTCCACTCTCCTGGTAGCCTTTTCCTTTGCCTGCAGTAGCTGTGGCAGGGGCCACAGGAGAATAAGGGTTCAGGTTCCAAGGTTCCGCTGCTGCCTTTCTTCTGCCTACAAACTCCTCCCAGTTGAAAGGGAATAGCTGGATGGGAGCTCCTGAATCTCCAAGTCCCTTCGCAACTCTGACCACCGCTACAAAAGGCCCTTCATTCACTTCTCTATTCTCGCTACTCCGGTTAGATTCTTCTGCTACCAATATTGGCATCTGATCTTCTAATTCTTCAGAAAGCAGGGACTCCTGGTCTTGGTCTTGGGACCCTAGACAAAGTGCTGGAGCTTCCCTGTTGTGGCCTGTGCTCTTGTTTGCTTCTGGGTATTCTGGTAAGAGGTATGGTGGTGTGCTTCTCTCAGAACTGGATTTCTCAAGGCTGTCCTCTCCTCCTAGGTCGGCAATAGTGGCCTCTCCCCTCCTGTAAGGACTGGACATGGAGTAATCTATAGGAGATGGTGTCATATCATTTTGGAACCTCCTTCGTTTCTCCACAGGCTCCTCACTTAGGATCAATTTGTATTTACTGCAGAAAGAAGAAACAAAATTGTAAGCTGTCACAGTACAGGTTAAGAATATTCTTACTCTACAAATCCCCTCCTCAAGGCACATATTCTTTCAGGGTAGGACTATTATTGCCACGGCCAAGAGATGCTTTCTTCCTGAGAGTGTACTGGATGCTGTCCCTAGCGTGTCAATGTTAACAGATGATGTGGGACTTTTACTAGGAAGCCCCTTGTGGAGATTGTTAGGTCACAGGCTGGGGGTGGGGGGAGCGTTGTGTTATCCTCAGAAGGGATTTGGGTAGCACTCGTGGGACCCTGAGTTAGTTCTCAGGAAAATCAGATGCTGTAAAAGATGTAATGACTTGCTCTTGCACACAACCCTAATACTGTGATCCCACCCACCATAAGGCTTTTACCAGAGCCAAGATGAAAGCAGCAACACCGTGCCCTTGAATCTCTAGTCTTGTGAGCTATACAAACATTTTGTTTCTTGTAAAGTTACCCGATCTAACACATTTTGTTACATCAAGTAGTACAACAATTCAGCCCCCTCCCCAAGCCTCAACCCCTTCACTCGTGCAACTGGATGAATTGACAGCTGGGGCTAGGAGAGAAATAAAGTTGGTAGGTTTTAAGGGTTAGCATAAAATAGCCTTGTTAGAAGAAAACAGGAGGGGACTGACCTTGGTAGAATGTTTTCAAAATGAATTTTAAACCACCCTAACTGTCAAGCTTCCTAAAAGCAAATAGAGGAAGACAAACAAAAACTAAACACACACACACACACACACACACACACACACACACACACACACACACACACAGAATCTCTTAACACAGATGGAATAAAAGGTCATTTAAAAAAGCCTAGGTGGGAGGAGGGGGAGGGAAATGGGAGGCTGGGAGAAGGTGGAAACTTGTTTTTTTTTTTTCTCCTTTTCTCAATAAAAAAAGAAAAAAAAATAAAAATGAAAAAGTGCACTTTTAAAATGGAAAAAAAAAAAAGCCTAGCGGTGTATGCAGAAAAGAAAGCCAGCTCGTTAATTTTAAAGTATCACAAACCCTCCAGTATCAAAGACTTAGCATGTTTTTATATTGCAATAGTACTCCACACAATTCCTTGCCAGCCAAGTGGATTATGTCTATTGCCCACTATTCCCTTGTAAAAGTTAATTAAAACACAAGGCCCTGATTAGAAACAAAGAAAGTAAACCAATCAGATCAAGTTATTTCCCCATTATGACCAACACCTTCACTTGGTCAGGCCCAAACTGGAGCTCCCTTTGTTCTTCAGGGAAAGCCAGATTCCATGGCCTCAAATCACCTTCCCTTTCTGGCTACTACAAGCACTAATGTGTTATGGAATATTAATTTAAGATGTATTACATTTGTTTATGCTGTGGAACATTTGTTTAATGAAGCAAAGATGTGTTTCATTCTTTTCCGTTGCATTTGTTTAAGTCTGTGAAACTGAGTTACCTTGCCTGTCTAAAATACTTGATTTGTCTAATAAATAGCTGAGTGGCCAATAGCAAGGCAGGAGAAAGGATAAGCGGGGCTGGCAGGAAGAGAGAATAAACAGAAATAGAAAAAGAGAGAAACGGTAGCAAAAGAGAGGAAGGAGCGAGGACACTAGAGGCTAGTCCCCGAGCTACACAGCCAGCCACAGAGTCAGAGTGAAAGAAAGATCTACAGAAGTAAGAAAAGGGAAAAGTCCAGAGGCAATAGGTAGATGGGATAATTTAAGTTAAGGAAATCTGGCTAAAAATAAGCCAAGCTAAGACCAGACATGCATAGAAAGAATAAGCCCTCGTGTGTGATTTATGTGGGAGCTGAGTGGCAGGCCCCTAAAGAGTAAAGAGTAAAAAACAAACAACTACACTAACGGGTAAAGAATCTATCAAAACAGTTGGTGCCAGAGAAATCCATAGTGATCTTCAATAGGCAGAAGGATTGGAAAGCCATTTCCCTTCTTGTAATCACCCCCTCTCCAGGTGACCAAGAGATGCCAAGGTAAAAAACCAGCTGTTGAACTTTGGGTGAGAAAGGATCAGGCACGTAACTAGCCTCCTCAGAGGACCTCAAGGCCACCCATGTCTCTGTGGCTTCGGAGGGCAACTGTGAAACCTCTCAATCTTAACCTCTGAGAACACTCTATGAGTTTCTTGGAATCCAAACGGGCCTGCCATCTTAACAGCTTCCTGTGATATCCTTTTAGCAGTTTGTACAATACTACGCAGAAAGAAACGCTGGGCACAGTGGTGCATGCCTCTAATCTCGGCCCTTAGGAAGCTGACGCAGGAAGATTGATGGAACTTTGAAGCCAGCCTGGGCTACAGGCTGTCAGGGAAGGCTACACACTGAAGCTGTCTTAAAAAAAAAAAAAGAACAAAGACAAAAACAAGTTTTGTGAAAGTAAATAAAGTTGTATTATTTGTCTGATCTTCATTTGCCCAACTCTAAGGGGCTCTGTTCATAACAATTT